TGCATATTTTGCTTTATACCATGTGATTCTTTTTTTGGCACATTTCAGGCTGATACTGGAGCTCTCAAGTTAGATGCCTGGAAACAACTTGCCTTGGAAGAGGGTATGTATCCTTACCAAATATGTGTTTGTGTGGCTATGGGGTCAGTGCTAGGTGATAGAGGATAGTTGGATGGGGTTATTTATGTTATCACATATTTTGTTCTTTATAACCTTGTACATATGATGAGAGAATCTATAAGAGCTGAACACTGATATTTGAGCTTCTAAATGTTCCAGTGTCTTCATAATAGTTAGTTCTAGATTTATTAACATTGAAATCAACTGTAAGCTTAAATAGGAGCTTGAATTTTCCTTTCCTGTATTAAGTGGAGGAGTATCTTGTTGCCATATAGGTCCCAATGTTTCTTTGTTAAATTTTGTACAGGAAAGGAGATTCCCGAAGAGGGTGATGCTCAAAGGTTGATGCTTTATGCAGGTGCTGATCATGTATTGCATAAGGTTTGGGAGTTCATGGTCCTTTTATTATTTGGATTATGTTTTATGATGTATTGCTATTTAACCATGACACATTACTTTCTTAGGATGTATTTTGATATTTGGGATTTATTTCTATGACTCAGAGGGCAGAGTACTAAGTCAATATGAGTGATTATGTAAGTTATAATATTGGTTTACTACTGATATTTCATTAAGAGCCAGAAAGTTGCAACAATTCTTATCATCAATTTATTGGTTTTAATTGTGATTGTATTTGGTGTCCAGACTTGTTTAGATAGTCTTTTTCTATTTCTTTCCCTTTCTTTTTTCTGTCATGAAATCTAATCTCATTTTTTGCGAATACAATAGGAAAGAAAGGCATACTAGATGAGGGTTTCTTCAGTTTGAGAAAAATTGAATGCATAAGAACTGAAATATTCCCCTAAAGTTCTGATTTCTTGATTAATCTCTTATGAATTCATTTGTTCCTTTCCTGTCAATCTGACTATTTTCATATTATACTATTTATTTTGTTTATGTCTCTTACCAGTTTCCAAAAATTTTTAGATCTTGCACTGGGAGACTGCAGAAAGCGAAGTGGATAGATTGAAGTCAAGGCTTTCACAGATTTATTATGATAATCTGGCAAAGGTGAGAGCTTGTTCAATTGGTTCCATGGGTTTTATCTTTCAAGTTAATAAACTATATTGCTGCTTTCCTCTTCAATCAGCTAAGAAAACCAATGGATGGGTTGGAAGAATGGCTTGATGCTGTATATACAGCTCGCATCCCTTGTGCTGTGGTTTCAAGTCTTGATCGAAGGAACATGGTTGATGCCTTAGAACGAATTGGCCTCAAGAAGTATTTCCAGGTTCATTGTTTTTTGAAGATTTTTCATGTATCCCTTGTATGGTGGCAACTAATATTGTTATAGTTTTGTTCTGAAGCCCAGTGGAATGTGCTGTTTGTCATGATATGAGCATAGCAGTTATGAGCTTGGCAGGCAGATAATTTGTATGCTACCTTTAATTCCTTATGCTCAAACTTCTCTCAGTTCTGTCCAGAGCCACTATTCTACTTTTCCAGTTGAAAGCCCTTTTTCATCTTTCCTATGTTAGCATGACCGTGTACACTCAATATGTGAAATGTCTTGTTCCACCTTGTCATGATGATCTTGAGACCATTTAGACAGCAATAAAATGGTCTTCTGCAGCAAGTCTCCAGTCTGTGTATAAAATTTCTTTCATTGTTCACAGCTCATAGTTATATTTCATAATGCAGGCAATAGTTTCTGAGGAAGATGGTATGGAGTCAATAGCTCATAGATTTCTCTCAGCAGCTGTAAAGGTATGTTCCATTTAAGATCACAGTATCATCTACGTCACCTATCAATGTTGGATTATTTGTCCTCTGAATTATCAATATAGTTTCGGAGCTACATTTGGATTTGTTATAATGCTGAGCAACTTTTAGATGGTCTTGCTACTGCAAGATTTCTTTTTTTTTTTTTTTGCAATTTTCTTTTGTTTCTTGAGATGTTCACTGCAATATATGACAATTTTGATTTTTCTCAGTTTCCTTGAAGTAACAAGGAGAGTTTTACTGTCTTATGGTATGTGAAAGAGTTGTCCATCAATCTGTGTGTATGTGAACTTTTAAACCTATCTATGGCAGTTAAGTGTTGTGTCTGTTCACTTACCCAATCCAGCCACCAATAATGTGGCTGAGAGATGTTTTATGAAGCCCAGGCTTGCGATTATTTCAGATTATAGGCTTCAAAGCTTACCAATATGTAGATCAATAGGAAGCATTTGCTTTCTTTCGATCCAGCTCTGATAGCAGAAAATTTGTACTCTTCATGCACATTGGCATATTGACACACAGTGAAACTGCGACCATTAGATGTCAATTGCAAGAGATAGAAAAGAGGAAAATAAGACAAAAACCAAAGATGCCAATTTGGTTGTTATAATTTTGATAGCTTTTATTTAGTTATCTTGCACCATGCATGAAGCCGCTGCACTTGAATGCATTTAATTTCTCATTGAGTTTATGGAAAACTGTAGTTGAGTTGTTATATGTAAATGTAAAAGTATCTGGGTGCAGTACATGTCCTATACAGAAAAAACTATTAAACTCAATGATAGAAGCTTCTTTTTGTTTTTAATTTGTTCTCCTTTGTTTTTGATCTACTTCCAATTAATTCCTTGCAGCTGGATCGTAAACCATCGAAGTGTGTAGTGTTTGAGGATGATCCTCGCAGCATTACTGCAGCTCACAACTGTACTATGATGGCTGTGGCATTGATTGGCTCTCACCCAGCGTATGTGTTTCATGCAACATAGAAGCATGCTATCATTAATACATGCAAACTTTAATTGCAACATTTGAAAGAACTCAATATCTATGAAATGTGATTATTGCACCCAAATCCCTTTTATCAAGAAATTATCTGATATCTGTCATAGCCTTATAGGAAAGCATATTAAAGGCAAGGGTGTAACCCTTGGTATTTACACTTGGGGCATAAATAGTGTGGAGGTTTATGCCCTTTTGAGTGTGGCTAGGTTTTGTGTCGATCTGACCGGAAAAAACTTGTTTTCTCACAATTGTGTGCTTTCTGATTTCATTTGTTTCTTTTAGTTGGAAAGTCATCTGAAAAGAAATTAATAGACATGAAAACATGCAGGTATGATCTGGTGCAGGCTGATCTTGCAGTTGGTAACTTTAATGAGCTTTCAGTGATTAATCTTCGAAGATTATTCGCTAACAAGGGTTCTACTTTCATGGACCGGCAAAAGCAGATCATAGAGAAGAATCCTCCGAAAAGGAAGCTTACAGTCGACACCATATTCTGAATTCATTTCTCATCTTCCCCGAATGAACATTTCTCATCTTCTTCCCCTTCATTCGGAATTTGTCCCTGTACGTAGCAAAACCGTAGGTAGAAGAGTTGTTTACATTTTCTCTTGATAGGAAAATGTTTTCCACCCGTCATTCATCTGATTGTACAGTGGATTGGTTAATTCAGTTCTCATCATGGTAGAACTTCACTCTAAATATGAATGTTGGAACCGAGAATCTCCTGATAAATGGGATGGTATTGTAATTTTGTGCGGGATTATTGAAAATGATTCCCTTTTTCCTGATTACTAGTATGGTTTTACTGCTTGTTTTCATCTTGCAATACTTAATAGCCAAAGTATTTTCAGGTCCCAATATGATGATATTGCTTGACCTGGTTGGTTAGCAAGGCAAGTAATTAGACAACCATAGGCATTAGTTTTTCAATTTCCTCATGCTAAATCAGCAACCTCATCATGAATTCTGTCCACTTTACATCCTCTTCAACCATCCTCGTCAGCTTGTTATCGAATGAATACACATTCTATATGATTGTCTTCTGAAATTCCTTACAAACAATGAGCCTACAGACATGATCAAACAGAAGAAAAAGCAATGCTCAAGGAAAAATCAACATTGAAACCAAAGGAAGATAAAGCAAGAAGTAGCATGTAGAGTGCATTGTCTTAAAAGAAACAAGTGAAAAGCTGTTTTGTCCACAAGACAACTCAAAAACTGCTAATTAAAGTGTGACAGCTGAGTGAGCCAACTTTAGAAATTTGATCTCACCATTCTAAATGACTCCGCCTACCACTTAAGTACACATAAAATACTCAGACTGGGACAAATTCTCTCATTGTTTTCATTGTTACTCAAAGCAGCTGACAGAAACACAAACTCATAGACATCCAAGTTATTATGAATAAAATTGGATTTGTTCAAATGAAATAAAACAGCACATTTCCTGCTCAATTTCCATTATTAAACATCCAGGAACTTACCAGTTCAAGTACCAAAGAACTACAGCAGTTTCGGGGGCATTCACACTAAGCTACTATCAAGAAACATGAAAACAGGCTATTCAACCAAGAGTCTTCACAATAAATAAGCGTCAAGGATTACGGCATAAAGCAAAGATGAGGAAGCAAATATGTATTATTTTGCATGTTTCCAAAGGAAAATTAGTAGTGTCCATTCCTCAAGAAACTGCAGAGAGAAAAATTTTCATACTAAAGCAAATTTCTTTATTTATTTTTTCCTTTTATTATCTCTTTCAGATAACAATCTCACTTTCCCCTTTCGCTTTGTTTCATTTTTCTTTGATTTCTTTCTCGTCTACTAAATACCTATTCAAATCCTGAGAAAACTTGGTCTAAAGCTAAGCTTTATTCTGTTTGGTGCCATAACAATGTCACCTTTAACATCACAAAATCTAGCTCTAAAAGCAACTCAAGCTTGGGGAGCAAATAATACAAAGGGTACATTTTTGCTTGTACTGTAAGCAGAGGAAAACAAAACAAATGATTTCAGTTAAGTACGATGTAGGTGATAGGATTTGAATTCCAAACCTACTGGATGTCATTTCTTAAGAGTGGTTCTATGAATCAATTGAAATAAATTTTGGGTTTGATGTAATTTCTTGTCACCATAAAATAAAAATAATTGATCAATTCGCTATGCTCATTATGCATCATCCATTTTAATAAGAAAAAGAAACTAATCAGGAAACTTAAGTTAGAAATGCCAAAAGCAATACTAATTGAGACATTACAAGAGGAAAAGAATATCACATTCCAAAGAAACATAAGATGAGGTAAACATCATCCTAAAACTATGCAAAAATTGAATAATTTTGTACCATAAAAATCAAGGTAACTGAAGTTAAGAGTAACAACTGATTCTATCCAGCTATCATAGTAACATTCAATATACTAATAAAGTCAACTAACTTTGCACTTATTTTAGGCTTCAACAACATTACTATGCAATATGCACACAAGTGACCGAATTATACGCTAAATGAATTCAGAAGGAGAAATCGAATCAGGCTTCACATTGTCACCTAATGCTCCAGGATGCTGCAAATTTTGCAAAACTTGAGGAGGCAAACCCCCCAAACCAGCTGCTAGCCCATCACTGCTGAACCATAAAACTGACAAAAGAGCCTAGCCACAACCCCAAGAATCTGCATTTGGTTCTGGCATGCATCCATATGCATTTGCATCGTTGCTTTCTCATGTTCAATTTGCAAACCCAACAACCTCTCCTTCCACTCCATCTCCTCCTCTTCGCGCTTCTCCTCCATTCTCCACCTCTTCGTCCTTTCCTCGTCCAATTCCTTCTCTAACCTCAATCTTCTGTCCCCCTCCCTTCTATTCCAAGCCAACTTTATTTCCTCCAATATTTCCCTATCTTCCACTCTCTCCTCCCTCTCACTCCACCGCTTTTCCTTCCCAAACTCCAATTCCCTCCTCTTTTGCTCCCTCTCCATCTCACCTTTCTCTCTTACAAACTCTCTTTCCTTCCTTTTCTTTTCCCCCCTCACCACCACATCTCTCAACTCCAAAACTTGTGTTCCAAGCAATCCAAGCCCCTTACTTCCTCCTATACCCTTCCTTGATTTTCGAACCCGAGAAATACCAATATCACCAAATTCCCTCTCTCCCCCAAACTCACCCTCATTCCCTACCTTCTCACCACCATGAACCTCATCCCCATCTCCATCAACACCATCCTCTTCCTCTTCCTCCTCAAAATCCTCACTATCAATGCAAAACCCCCCCAAGTCACAACAATCCTCAAACAAATCATTCCCATTACCATTGCTTTCACTTCCTTTCTTCCCTTTAACTTCAAGTTCCACACCACCAAAAACCTCTTTATACTTCAAAAAATTTTCCCAATGATTCTCACCATCTTTCCAATTAAACTCATCATTTGAAATCTTAATCTTCTTCTTCACCCCCAATTACTGGTGCCTCATGTTTTGAACCTTAATAGACACATCACTCCAAGACCATTTGAAAGGAAAAGTAATGGGACCTTGAAGATGATGAACTGAGTTAACATGGTCAGCTATGGGCTTAAACTTTTTCTCTCTTGTTTTGAGTTTGGATAAAGTTCCTGAATTGAGAAGATCGGAGTATGTGGACAAAAGGGTTTGTTCTTCAAGCTCTGACCACTTCTTACGTTTCATTTTTGTAGGGAAAGATCTTCTAGGAGTGTTTTGGTTTGGCTTGGTTTTGAGGATTGTTTGAACAAAAGACTTGGAGTTCGCAGGTTGTCTGAAAAATGCCGAAGTGCAGAACTCAGGAGTACTTCTGAGAGCTTTGGGGATTGAAAGTTTTTTTTTCTTTGACAAAAAAGACCCAAGAAAATAAACCAGTAAAGAAAAATAAAACAATGGTCTTGGCCAACGTTAAAGCAGAGTTGGGGTGGCAAAAAAATAGACAAAACGACTTTTGGAACATCTGTCAAAGATTAAAACTTTTTTTTTTTTTTATCATTTTCCTTATCTTCCTCTCTATCTAAACCCTCTCAAAGACCCGGCAGGATTGGAAGAAGCTTCATAGATGAGTTAAGAGTTGAGAGTTAAGAGTTGAGACCCTGCTTCAAAAACAAACTCGAAGACTGAAGCTTTTCTGGCAGTTGCAATTGGAACCCAAAAAAAATGTCTTGTAGCTCAGTTTCTGCTTTTACTTCTTCTCTCTTTGTCCCTCCAAAAAAATCATCTCTGTCCAATCACAATCCCAGATTCATCCGCTGTTCTCTTGGAGGTTCTCATTTTTCCTTCATTTTCAATTTTATTTTCCAATGTTAAGGTTTTATTTGTTACTTCATTGTTTGAAGTGGGATCTTCTGGTTTTTTTTGCTTTCTGTTGTGGAAGTGGCAAGGCTCAAAAGACCAAGTCAAAATTTTGGAATCTTAGAACATTAGGGGCCTAAGCCTGAAAACCTCTCTGGCTAAGCTGACTTGTGTTTATTTAATGTGTTATAGTTATGGGTTCATGGGATCTAATTGTGATGCAATTATGGTTTTAATGAATGAAGCTCATTTGATGTGCGGGCTTTGAAAAGTTGCTTGAAATGATCAATGGGCTAATGTCAGATGTGAGAATTAGAAGCCATTTTTAGATGTGCTGGTGAATGGTGATTAGTTGATAATGTATAAGCTTTAGTTGACGTATTGGGAATAGTTATTTTGAATAAGAATGCTGAAGGATAGAACTAGTAATGCGTTGAAATCACCATTAGCTATGCTTTGATGGGACCATGACACTATGACAGGACAATGACCCTTCTGCATATGAGAACCACCATAGCATAGAAAGGCATTGGGACTTTTTTTTTTTTTTGTATATTTCTTGGGGAACATAAAAGAAAATCAAGGAAAAAAGCTGAAATAAATTTCTTCTATGTTCTTCGTTCTTGTCTGTAGATACTCAATTGGGTCCGACTCAGATTAATTAGGCCTGGTCCAAATGGGTAAGTCCAATTCAATTTTATCTTGTATTTTTTTTCTTCTTTTCTTCTTCTTTTGTATTTTATGTATTGTATTATTTATTATTATTATGTATTAATATATGTATATATTTATTTATTTATTTTTTGTTAATATTTATGTCTATTTTATTATTTATGTATATATATATGTATATTTTTTTTTATCTTTTTTATTTTATTCATTTTTGTATTTTTACTTATCTAATTATATATCTGATATATTTTTTTATTATTATTTATCCTATAATATCTGCTGATTTATCTTCTCTAATTATCTAGTTTTTTATTTTATTTGATTTTGATTTTGGAGGGCTGAGATTGAAGGCTGAAGAATCCCATTGAAAATGAGAATTCAATCAGAAGAGTCCAGTGGGATTCAAAGATTGAATTCCCGTCCAAGGAGGAATTGGGATTGATCAGGAACTCCTGATCAATCCCTATAAAAGGGACTCTGGAACAGAATGCAAGACACACAGAAAACAGTGAGCCTGAGCTACTGATTTGAGGGGAAAAGGCGAATAGGAGAGTATAGAAGGCTAAGAAAAGGTTTAGGAGAGTTCTAAGAATCATCGGAAATTTTTTGGGAATTTTTCGAATTTTTTTTTTCTGGGAATTTCTGGAAATTCCAGATTCCGGTTAATTTTTTCGGCCAAGTTTGAATTTTTCGACAACAATTCCGGCCAACTTTGAAGTTTCCGGCAACCTGCCCAGTTTCCGGCGAGGAATCCCAGAAACCAGCGAATATTCCCAGAAACCGGTAGACTTCCGGCCAACTTCCGGCGAAATTTTCAGATTCCGGCGACTTTCCCAGAATCTGGCACCGGTGTTCTTCATTTTCTAGAGAGAAGGGAGAGAAAAAGGGAAGAAGAGAGAGAGAAGAGAGGGGTGTTCTGCCGAAAAACGAAGGGGACTGCCTTTTATACCCTCCCAAAACGACGTCGTTTTGGCCTTAAGTAACCCAGAGGATCCGCGCGTTTTGCCGAACCCGACCCGACCCGAGCGTCGACCCGCTTCCTGACCCGCGCGTACTGCCCCTTCTCCAAGCCGAGCCGAGCCGAGCCGAGCTGCCAAGCCGCTCCCCCGAGCCGTTTTTTCTTCCTTGAGCTGAGCCGAGCCGCGCCGATAACCGAGCCGCTCCAGGTTTTTTTTTTTTTTTTGAATTTTTATTTGTTTTATTTGTTTATTTATTATTTTTATTTATTAGATTAGGTTTATTTAATATTCTTTTTATCTTTATTTTATTTTTAGTTTTGTTTTACTTTTTTTTTTATTATTCTATTTTTCTTTAAATAAAAAAAATCAAAAGTTCCAAAAAAAAATATTTTTTGGGAAAAGTTGAAAGTATCAATTTTTCTCAGAAATAAATTTCAAAAAAAAAATATTTTTAGGGAAAAGTTGAAAGTATCAATTTTCCTCATAAATAAATTTCAAAAAAATATTTTTAGGGAAAAGTTGAAAGTATCAATTTTCCTTAGAAATAAATTTTCAAAAAAAGGGTTTTTGAGGAAAAGTTGAAAGTA